AACTAGCTTGAGTATAACTGAGTCACTTTGAGCCACTCGTATCCTGGAGCCTGTTAGCAACAGGTATCACAAAGCGTACTCTGCAAGCATTGAAGCATAATGCAGGTTTTACCAAAAGTTTCTTCATGGAGATAGAGGAGGTTCCCATTTTATATGATAAAGCAAAACCTCCTCTAACTCATTCCTGGAAATCTCTCTGGTTCCCCAAAGCACCTTTCAGTATAGCTGCTCCTCCCTCTCTCCTCCTTCCTGCAACTTCTCTACACCCATTCCTCTCCTGTAGCTGCCGCCACCATGCCCCGTATCTCTCTTTCAGTAAAGCAACTGGCACCCCTAGCCATCAACCCTACTCAGGAAACCTACGAGTATTCCTTGGGATCTGTTCTTTTTAAAATTTGGGAGCTGTTGAATAGAAAGAGAGAGAGCTGGAGAAAAATACAAATCTAAAAACTGTTGATTTCATTATTGTTCCTGCCCAAAAATACTAACATAATAGCCAACATTTTCTGCTCCCGATTCTTTGCATACTTTCTCTCTAATGCTCAAAACAGCCCTATAACGCAAATAAAGATCTCCATTTTACAGATGAGAATGCTGAGGCTTAGAGGAATCAAAACTTCTTACCAGCTATAGATGTAAAGTGGCAGGCCTAAATCTACCTGACTTTAAAACCCATGCATACCCCAGCAGACTTCACGGAGGCAGAACATTGGGCTGCTTTTCCTTTGGGAGCTGCCCTCTCCTCCCAGCCACTCAACTCAAGCCAGCTGCAGGCCCCTCCCCCATTCCACCTTGTGGTTCCTCTGGCCAGAGGGAAAAGGAAGTTTGTTACCTTTCAGCTGATAGACCCACTTCCTGAGCTAGCTCAAGGTGCTGGTGCACACATGGCCTAGTTCTCCCATGCCAGAGGCCTGCTCACTACCCTCTAGTCACATCTGGGACATATTTAAAATTACCTCTAACCACAACTGCAAAGTAAGATGGCAAGAGATTAAGCAAATGCCATAGGCTTGCTTGCTAAGATTCAGCACAGGAGATCCATGTCCCTACTTCCCCTACTCTGGCTCTGCCCAGGAAAACTGGGCAACTTCATATGGGAAGTTTGATCCAATTGTTTCCACTTGAGAGCAAGTACAGAATCCTTGGATGTCTTCTGGACTCAGTGACTTCTTGCAAGTGGGGAGTGATGGGAGGTGGTGGAGGGTGAGTTGTTGTGAAGCAATCAGCCTTGAAACCAAACTGGCCCAAGCACGTGTCCTAGCTGTGCTGCTCACTACCTGTGTAGCCCTGGGTAAGTTACCTAACTTCCCACCTGCAGTGGTGTTTCCTCGCCTGAATATGAGAGGGTTGTTAACGGTTAATGACAGAAAGCCTGCATCTAAAACAAAGGCTTCAGTAAATGTAATTTATCCTCATTATTATTCCCAGTGGGAACATTGGCTCTCTCCTATCCTCCCTAGCAATGGGGCAATCTTTTAACCTCTGGGCCCCAAATTTCCTCACCTGCATTGGCTGGTCAGAGGCTATGATCTCTCAGGTCCCTTCCTGCATTGGTTATCTATGAAGCAACCTCCATTTGGCATTTATTTTCCTGCTTGTTGGCTGAAAATAAGTTCACTCATTCCCAAAACCTCTTGGAAAAAGAGGGACTCTGCTTGGCATAGGCTGTCATTGGAAACAGCTCTTCTTTTCCAGAATAGCAATAAAAAACATGTGTTGTTTGCTGTTTGTTCAAGTTCAGAGGGAAGGAGAGATGGTGACAGTGAATTCATGTGACAAAGAGACCTGGGATGGAATCGAGGTGGGAGGACAGGTATTTTTAGTATATTAAATCCACAATCTGGGGTTTTGAGGGGCCTTCTACTCTGTGTAAGTTTGCCTAGAGTACATACCTGTTGTGTGATAAAAATAACAGTGTGGCATTCTTACAGTCCTCCATCCTGGAGTGGAACTTTTCAAATCAGAACCCCAGGAGTGACAGTCAACATTGAAGGGTGCCAAGGACAGGGAGCAGGGACATGATGAAATAAGTATTAGTCCGTGATAGAGAAGAGGAAAAAAGGAGAGAAAGAGAAGCACTACGATCTGGGCTCTGATCAGCTGGGCCCCTGCTGTTGGCCAAGCAAGCAGGCTTTGCCAGGAGCTTCCCGAAGGCAGCTGTCCAGCCAACCCCATGCAAGCTCCTGCCAGGAGGCATCATTACAGACGAGTGTCTGATCAGCTCCATCGAGATCACATTAAAGGCTCTCCTACCCACCCCCCTTCTGAAAGAGTGTTACCGTTTGGACAGATTTTCAGGGTCACTTTCTGACCCATCTCTGGAAAAACAATCACTGTCAGACCCCTCCTGACTTATTTGCTAATGGGAACAAAAACCATACATCTTTATTCAAAATAAAGAATGATGCCCAGCACTAGCCCTTGGGCTCTTTGAAGGACTTCTGCTTCCTTTTCCCTTGCATGTTCCACTACCCTTCGGCCACTCCTGGAAGTAAGTCCCCTTCCAGGTAAGCATGCTTTGACTAATTAATTTATTCCATCTGTTCTTTCCTCTGGAACTTTCACCATGGCACAGAAGGTTCTGAAACAGATTTGGTTCTTATATTGATAACCAGGTAACCGATAATGGATGGAGAGTAGAGTATGGAGGGCTGAAGGAAAGGGGCGTGTAAGTTTTGTCCCCTTACATGTGCCTGACTTTTAGGCAAATCTCTGATTTATCCAGTCCATTAAAGGCATGGAGACATCTGAAACTGCATATGAAAAAAGCTAATCTCTGCATTGCAAGGGAGTTTTTAAAACCATACCCTGTTCAGGTCACTGGTAGAAAGAACGAGGAGGAAGGGAAGTAAACAAACTAATGAATAACTGTTCATGATTCATGTGAATAAATGAATAAACACACTAATGGAGTGCCGACCACAAGCCAGCTCCTCAACCAGGTGGTTTATTTGCTTTTTAACTCTCAGGACAAGTTTGTGAGTAGGTAGAATACTGCCTGTGTTACAGGCAAGACAGCTATACCTCACAGAAGTGGAATAACTTGCTTTCGGACACTCAGACCTTGAGTGGCAGAGCACAATTCAAACCTACATCAGCATCACTCTAAAATCTACTCCTCCTCCCAGGCCACACTGAGACATGCGCATTTCTTTGCTGTGAGTTTGTCTCTTCTAGAATTCTGATGACTCAGAGTCTTTGGCAGGACCCCATCATGTCTTCAGAGGTGGGGAAAATCAGCGACCGCTGCTAGGGTGGGCAAGCTCTCCCTGACAGCTTGGGAGAAGCAAACATTGCCTTCTATGCACAGGCTTCCTTCATTGAGTTAGTTACCTTTATTTGAAGTCAAATGCCATTTATCTAAATTGACAGCAGGTTGCTGATCAAATATTACTGAGTCTTCTCTAGGTGTGAACCTGGGTGAGTTCCCCTGTATACCCTTGGTTAATGCTTTGTGACTGTGGGAGCCAGAACCGAGGAGTCTGGCTCAGCCTAACGCAATGTGACAGCTAACATCCAAAGGAGAAAACAGTCCCTCTCTACTGTTTCCCACATTCCCCATGTTTACAGTGTGCACATTACAAACCCAGTCTGCAATGGACTTTTTAACACACTAGGTGTTGCCACTTGGAAAGGTTACTTTTACATTTGCAATCTTTGCATTGTGTTCCCTGCTATGGATTATGGAGCAAGCGAATGAAAAGCAAGTGTTCAATGTAATTGTGTGTTTGGTTCCTCTGATACCCTGTTGGAAGAGGCTTACCAAGGGAGAGGCCCAGGCCATATGGGCTGGGGTGCAGATGCCGGTGGCCAGGCTCAGTGCCCCAGAGGTTCACGGTGGCTCTCAGTTGACGTTGAGGCACTCTGAGGGAGTCAGGACAGACTTTCTTCAGTGCAAGAGCAATGCCCGTTCCAGCCTGGAGTCGATTGCGATAACCTTGACAACAGGAACAATGAATGGCACATCATTTTCCTGAGGATGCATCGGTACACGGAAAGATCTCTGCCAAATCTCATCCCCTTGCCAAGGCTTCCAGGTGTTTCTTTGTGTTCGCGCAGAGAACTAACATCATTTTTTCCTTCAGTTCAGAAGAGGTGGTCCAAAGTGTTTAAGCGACAGTAGTTGCAACATGTCAGAGTGGGAATTTATTATCTCAGCCCCAATAGGTCTTAATAAGCCTTACACAACTGTTTAGGCATTTATTCTATTAACGGCTGTTCATTCTGGTGGCTTCACCTGAATATTCATGATCTTCCTATCCCCAGAGCTTCAGCATAGCAGCTGTTTAAAACCCGCAGCAAATGTTCAAGAGAGTTCCACAAATATAAACACCCTCACAGCTGAATGTTCCAGCTCTGGCCTCACAGAGGCTAAGCCATGAAACATTTATGTGAAGTGGTTTTTGGAGGGCAGCATTTACAAAACTTAAATAATCTTTCCCCTTTGGGGAGCCTCAACTCTGTTTGAAACATGACCACAAGGACAAAGGGTCCAGGAGGACCCAAGTCCACAAAGATAACTGCCCTCTCCTTGCTTCCTCCTAGAAAGGGAGGTTCTGAATAAATTCGAACTGGAAGGGAGCTAGAGTGAGTTCGGGGGGTGGGCCGGGTGGATGTGCAACCCACTTCAGGGGAGAGGGCCAAGTCAGCTCCTTGTGAAAGAGTGAGGTGGTTTGTACAGGGAATATTTTTAGTGTAAATATATCAAAAGAGAAAGCATTGGTGGTGGTTTTTCCAAAGGGATATAACCAGGAATGACAGGATTAAATTAGCGAGAGCACAATCTGACATGAAATTTTGTGAGATCTCCCTCTTGAGCATATGTTTCCTGCCTTTCAAGTCAGAATGCAAAGTAGAAAAAGTTCAGGCCCATCTTTATGATTGGATAAATCTCCCCCTTGGGCAAGTCACTTAACCATTTTGTGCCTCAACGTCCTCATTTATAAACTAGAGGGGAGGGGGATGTTGTGTCAAAGAAGATGACGAAGTGATGGCATTGCGTAAACCAATAATGTAGTATAATTAATGTATTAGAAATATACATTCCCATTGTCTTTGACTTATCTGGAGAAGATTTTGTAAGAATTAGTTTAAAAGCATAAAGTTAAAGATAAGTAAGCATACTTTTCTAGCCTGTTTGTGGAAGACCAAGCTCACCTTGACCAGTGAGGACAGTAGGGGGAACAAGGATATGGGAATGTAGTGAAAAGAACATGGGTTGTGGAGTCAGATTAACCTGGATTCAGCATTACTGCTGCAATTTGGGCAAATAATGCAGCTTTTCTGAGCCCAGTTCCTTCATTTGTAATATGTAAAAAAATACCTTACATGTTTGTCACAAGGTTTGAGATGTGTGCAATACACAGCACAGTGCCTGGCACGACATAGCTGCACACCAGATGTGATTTCCTTCTCCCACCTCTGGTATGGGAGCACAGCTAGCCTGTCAGCCCGAGCAGGCCCACCATACAGCCCCCTACCCATAGCAGTGGTGATCTGGGAGCCCACAGTTAGGTGGACAGATAGAATAGCACGGTTGCCAGCCAGTGATTTCTCCAGGCAGTACACCACCTCTGCAGGTCAAGAATCTGGGTTCATTCTTCCCTGGGAACTCTATGGGCTGAAAAAGAAGGAGAGAGAGAAAGGCTTTTTGGAACTTCTGAAGGAAGATGCCCACCCCCGGTCAAGGCTCCACTGCTTGTGCCTCCCCAGAATGCACATGGGAAATGCTCACATGTGTTGTCATCCGCTTTTTGTATGCATGTCCCTCAATAGGGAACTGCTTCTCCACCTTTTGTAAATGCCATCTTTGGATTCGCAAAAAAACTCTCAAATCCTTTCACAGTATCTGGAATTCCAAAATAAAAGAAATACAATGACCAATATCCACTCAATGTGATGATAATATCAACGTGTTTTTTAAGCTGTGCAAGCTTTCTCCCTAATGCAGCTTCATATCCCAAGCTTGAAAAAAAATCATAATATAAATGAGAATGAGAGAATCAAACATGGTAAAAATGAATTAATATAAGCAGGTATCAAATGTTATAATAGAGGAGCAGAGCACATCCCTGGGAGCATTGAGGAAGAGGGAGTCTGCTGAGAGAACCAGGGGAAGAGCTGCAGAGAGAAGGGCACAATTTGAGTGTACATTTTCTGAATGGAAAAGCTGGAACAGTTATTCCAAGGACAGGCAACTGAATGGACAAGGTTCTTAAGGGAAGGAAAAGGATGATGTGATAAGGAAATGATAAAAAGCTCCTTATGGCTGAAGTGGTTGAGTGGGGAGCACCGTTGGAGAAGGTTCCAGAACTTTGTGCTGGGCTGAGGTGCTGGACTGTATCCTATAGGCAGGGGTGGAATAATATCATCAGGACTCTATTTCAAAAGAAAAATGCATGCATGTGTACGATGTTTAAAAATTGAGTTAGGAAGACCAGAGACAAAGAGATCCTAAGCCACTGATCTCACCCTGCCAGTTACCCCGCAAGGTGGCCATTGTTTCTATTTCCCTGTAACAGTAAGGAAACTGGAGCTCAAAGCAGCCCATGACTTGCTCTTTAGCTGTTAAGTGGCAAAGCTGAGACTCAAACACAAACCTCTTGATTTCAAGTCAAGGGCTCTTTTTACTTCTCACAACTCATTAGCTACTACAACCACAAAATGCAGACCCTGACTGACTTGCTTTCAGGGGTTCTGAACTTCTTTATGCTATGGACCCATTTAACAGTCTGGTGAATCATGGACCTCTTTTCAGAGTAGTATTTTAAATACATAAAAGAAGAAAGTGCATTGAGCAACTAAAGTTACTATGTATGTTGTGATCAAATATATACACATTATCAAATAGATAGCTACCAAATCCATGTATCAAAATATTTCAAATAGTGTGCTATAGCAAGAATAGTGCTTCTGTATTCATGCATCACAAAGCAAGCTCTATTAGAGGGATTAATATTTACCAGAATTTCAAGATAGTGGTAAATGTAAATAATGTTTCAAGACATCTTCAACGACTGCAATGTGATATGAAGATATCTGTGATTTTTAGTGATGACAAAGTCCTGGTTTTTGCTAATATTACTGTGACTCTCCATTGCTAATATTATTGCTCTCCATCATAATTAGTAGACATGATAAATTTCTTTTAGAGATTAGTGAACATAAAGGCATAATTTCTTTTCTCATCTAAATTCAAATATCCTTGAATAATATCCATGAACCCTGGTAAAGAACCTCAGAAAATATTTCAAATTTGAGATAGTCTATAAAGTGATTTCTAAAATATTTAGGAAGTAGATCTTTTTTTTTCCAAATGAACAAAGAAGTCGAATTTCCATGATGAAATAGTTCAAAGCGGAAAATCTCTGGCTGAAGCTGTGTAGGAAGGACTCCCAAGTCTCCTCATTGTGCCTCTTAGACCCATGAACCCCAAATGGAGCCAACCCATAAGACATCTCCTTCACAGAAAACACTTTGTTATGGTTTCCAGCACTTGTTGGCAGTGCTCAGCTTTCTCAAGGCAAGGGTCTAGAGAAACTGGTGATTTTCTGGTGATAGCAGCCCTTTCCTGAAAAGACACTGTCATTCCACTCTCAGGAAAGCTTGCTTTAAGGGCAAGTTTCTGAACAACCGGGGAACTTCAGGAATATGCCAGGGGTAGCATTGTTCGTACACAGGCCTGCTTCCAGTGAACAGTAAGGGTTTCGAGCTAATAAGGAAATAATCCATTTTCAGCAGATGAAAGAAGAGGGATCAGAAAGGTAACTTGAGCTGAGAGTAATAACGGTGCCAAAAACTTATAATGGAAACTATCTGAAGAATCCAAGACCCTTTGTTAGATATGAATGATTTCTTTTTTCTGGTGAGAAGTGTATGGAGAACATGAGAAGAAGGGCCTGAGTGGATTTTATGAAAAAATCCTCTGTCTGGGGAAGAAGGGTTTGGGGTTAGGTTGCAGCTCCACTGTATCCTTCAGTTGCATAACAGGGAGGGAGTTGAAAGATGTTCAAACCACCACAATATGATGTGCTCTGTCTTTGAACTCTTTCTTCCAGATTTTAACTGTAAGTTCATACATGTTTCCCCAAAATCCCTCTAGCTAGGTGTGCAATAGACAGCAGACAGAAACAAATTTAATTAACAAAGAATTCTTAACGTTGCACACACCTGGAGTTCCCCGCTCTTAGCGCCAGCATCTGTACTGTAATAGTCAGCAAGAATCCACCTAATCAAGATACCTATATATAACAATACTTTAAAGCTCTTAGAAGCAGGATTTTTTAAAACATCAAATGGATTTCGTTGAAATGTCTAACCCCCTTCTTAAATACGAACTAGAACCTGTGGCCTTTACTATCAAAAGACAAAGAATTATAAAAGGTATGGAGTGGGCTATCATATCAGTTTATAGTTCCTTTTATTAATTCATTCATCTAATTATTCAAAAACTATTTATTGAATGGTTTTGATGGTCGATGGGCTGAATGAGGTGCCGGAGAAACATTGCAGAACAAGACCCGGTCCTTGTTCTCATAGAAGACATAGAGAGCAGACAGGCATTACACCAATGATTATTCCATTCCTCTTCATTCTCAGCCTTCAGTGTGACTAACAATCATCCAGGAAGCTTGCTTAAAACCACATATTCCAAAATCACCAGACCTGAAGTGGGGCTGAGGAATTAGCATTTTTTTAATGCGTTCCGCGGTGAGTCTGGTGCGGGTTTGTTGAAGAATCGATTCGTGCAACTAATGAGGCTACAGAACAGTCTCTCTGTGTTTCCTGTGGCCCCCGAGTCTTCTGTCCCAAGCTTTCCACACAGGAATGCTCATTTTGTGCTTCACAGCCCTTAGTCTTTGCCTGCACACTTTCTTAGAACTCAGTCTTTAAACACTAGGTTCCAAGCGTTAAATAATTTATTTCTAGGGAAAACTCTGATTCCCACCAACATACTCTGAAAACACCTTCAGCATTTTCCTGCAGCTCCCTGTTCCCTAACCTGAATCCCCTGCCACTCCACCCTTTCAGAGAGCTGTATCGTTTCTCTATCCTGTGAGGTTCAGCAGTGGGAGAAGTTTCACATCCCTTTGGACAGGGAGAGTCACTTTCTGCTTGCAAGGTGCTTGAGTCCTTCCAATAGGAAACCATTCAATAGCCCATCACACCTGGTATTATCAAAGGGCATAACTGTTTCACCTCTTCCTGCCTCTTGTTACAAACACACATGTGTTCGCTCACACATCTATAAGTATATAAGTAGGTTTGCATATAAAACTATCTAAATAAATAAAATCTGTCATTTTCTTAATGTTATCAAAAGATATCCATTTTCAAATTCTCACGTACAAACCATATACAGCCAGCAGTCCATACGAAAATGCGACTCTTCTCAATCATATTTTCATAAAGCTACTACAAAGGAAAGAATCCCAGTCTCAAAGTATAATGGCCCTTTCTCTTCCTGTTGATAACAGAGTTAGGATCATGCCTTGACATGACCCTGTGCCTGGACCTTACTGTGACTCAGCCCATGACTCTAACAAATTAAGGCAAGACCAGCTTTCATCTCCCTCCCAAGCACAAATTGTTGCTGCTTAATAATCTCCGAACCAACTAACTATATCCCAGTAGATTCTAATACTTGTGAAAGTAACTCCCTACACTTTAAATTTCTTCATAGTATGGTAATACCTTACTATTAAAAAAGTAGGTGTTTGGGGTGAGCTGAATTTGTGAAAAGTGTGAATTATAAAGTACATCTTTTCAGAGAAATTTTGTTACTATAAAATACAACTAAATTAAGTAAGTATTGCCTAGTAGAAGGCATGCTGCCCTGCCCTGCTCTAATGAGTGGATGAGAATAATTTGTAATTCACATACAAACGTACTGAATTGCTTTTTTAAATGTTCCTAGCACAGGGCACACATGCTTCCAAAGGACACATCACAGGAATTAACCAAAGCTGGTTCTGGAAATACTCAGTAGGGATATTATAGCAGATTTAAGCACTGGATAATTTTTTGAAGTCTATATCAGCCCAAAACTTTCATGATTATGTGACAAACTCAATTTAACATATCTTTTTTTAAATTTGATAAAATTATTTTGAGTTATCATGAAGTCTACACTAGTAACACCCAAATTGAAAGATTTTGCTGAACCCAATTACTCTGTTTTCTGATTTTTGTAGGAAAGTTGATATTTGGTGTCCTGCCAAGAGCATCATGTTCCATGATATCTAAATGAAGAAAAGTAGAAAACTTTACTTCAAAGATAAAAAGAGTAGCACAATAATAAAATTAGCAACTGACATTTATGTCATAGTGTACAATTTACTTCCAAATGCTCTATCTTTTTAAATTCACACTTATTCTGTACAATAATTAAAGAGAGTTATTATTAATAATTCCATCTTACAGTCAGAGAATCCAAGAATCTGTAAGCTCTTTTAGGATCGCGGTTCAGGTCTTCTGACTCCAGAGTCTACCTGGTGTATAATAGAAGCTCAGTGTGTATTAGTTTAATAAATGAACAAATTAATTAATTAAAGTAATTAAGGATATCCTAGCTAATTAAAAGAAAGCACTACTAGGCAAAGGAAACTAGTTGTTTCAACACTAAACATCTCTCAGATGCTTAGGAATACAGCAATCCTGTCATAATACATAGCCAGGACTGGCTACATGATTTGCAGGGCCTGCTGTAAAGTGAACACATAAGGACCCTTATTCAAAAATCATTAAGAAATTCAGGAGAGTAACAAGAGAGTATTCAAGCACATGATCCTTCAAAGAGCAGGGAGCCCTGATGACTACACAGATTGTTCATTCTTGAAGCCTGCTCTG